CCCTCGCGTTGTAGTCCGTGCTCCTTCATTCAGTGTGGTGCGCGTTGGCGTCGCACCTTAGTATATAGGAGAGCTTACTCCTCCTACAGTATTCCGTTAGTTGGTGAATCATTGGACACTTATATTGTCCTCGTCCTACGGCAGCGGTCTCTCCATTCGGTGTCCTCTATGCTGCTGCTGACTACGCTCCAAGCCGAGGTATTGAGGCCCTCAGTTTGGTTTCTGGTGAAACCAAGTGCAAACTTGTAAGGTTTACCTGCGCTCCTGGGAAGAAACACTGTCATGCTGTGAATGGGCGGTATTTCTTCACCCCTCTTCACGCATAGGACCGGGCCTCTCCGTCCCTCTAGCTTCGGAGCGACTTCCACAAGCCAGGTAGCCGTCTTTTTGTCCTTACAGTCGACTTCTAGCATACCTGATCTAAAATAAACACCATGGAATGAGCCGGCGTACCACACCCATTATAGATCTCAGCTCATTTGTTGCATTCAGTCGTGCAGCCCTTTCGCTGCCTCATCTTCACGACATGGTTTCGTTAATCTGGCTGCGCCTTTGATTTCCGCATACAGCGCCGGTCGCGGCGTTTGCTCCTGCTCGTCTCTTTGCGGCCAGAGGTGGGTTTCTCCTGCTTGAAGAGAGCATCAATACTTCCTGTAGAGATTTGCCATCCTGCAAGTGCCTAAGATACTTTTTTAGAGTGGCACCGCTCATCCCCTTCATACGTGGATCGCCAGGACCACCGGGACATCCCGCAGCTGGTTCTGGGAGCTTTTCGCCACCCCGTTTTCTCTTCCTCTTACGCGCACCCTCGGTCCCGTTCCGTTTGTGGTCTCCTGCCTGTGAACAGCTGCGCCTGCTTGAAGGGGTTGTTGTGGGGCCGAAACTGCATTACCTGCATCAGTCGTAGCACGCGCGCTTCTCTGTCGAAAGAGCGTCCTGAAAGCTAAACTTGCGCATAGCTGTTGTTGTTACGGTTATCTAATCTCCGCTTGGGTGCTAATCTAACCGAAGGCCCAGGAAACGAGCTGTTTCCACGGGGTACGACCATAGGGAGAAAGGTTTTAGATGAGTGGGATTTGTTGGCATGGAAAGTGGTGGTTAGAGTCATGCGGGTGCTAATTGCACGCGTAACATATAGTTGGTATATCGGGGGGGTCGATTCTGGATAGGTATGAGTTTAGCTTGCTACAATATCCAAAAAGAGGTTGCGCAAGGGTCACTCTAGATTCTCGTGGCACCTAGAGCTCTTCGTCTGCGATGGGTAGGGGTTTGACTCCAAGTACGCCAGAGGGAGTCGGTGAAGGTGTTAATGCCTTCACTGTGAATGGCGGTCAGTGCATGTCTGAAGTTAGTTGCTTTCGAAATCTGGATTTAGTGGGGAAGAGTATTAATCTTCTTGCAGCGAAGAAGCCTTTTGGTCTTGTCTTTTGAAGGGTGCAGTGTGAACTACCGGCTAAAAAGGCCAAGGCTTTGACAGTAGACCAAAGCTTACTTACACCCATGGAGAGGTTAAAATACTTCAGGTTTTCTTCCCATTTAGTCCGCTTATGTTGATTACCATTAGCCGAATCTCCAAGTTGAGCATCCTTATTCGGGCACAACAAGAATCAGTCGGGATGCAGAGAGCGGTACCACCTGCGATCTCCTTGCGGAATTGACGTTCCCCAACAATTACTTCCATAGGAATGGGTAGTGCAGTGAAGATGTCATCATAAGCGATAGTAATATCCGTTGAGTTGCTACAGTTGCTCATAATTCTGGTGGGGGCTTCGTCATTCATTGTGCAGAATGTCGAATTGGCTATCTGTTCCGCTATCTCCACCCCCCTATGATTTGACAGGTAGGAGAGCCTAAGATCGTAGGGCGCTTTAAAGTCGCTTAGTATCAAATGGTTTTACCACCTATGTAACTGAGAAGATGTACATATACCGGATAGCTATGCCCTGAAAATCAAGGGTAGTATCCGTGATGTCGATGTCGCCATCGATACGACGATATTGCACTGTGTTGTGCAGTATGAAGACTAGGCCTCCACCATTATATCACTCAAACTAATTTTTCAACATTAAAAGATTATAAATTTTCTTTGCTCTACACATATGTAAAGTACGTAGCGTTCTTTATTCTGTCACTTCACCGTTACAAACGTAAAATACTAAACAAAGAGAAGCCATCATATGGTATAACTACTATTTATACTTTTGACTAAAACTACATAACGGGTGCGTTCGAGATGGCAATCACGACAGCAGTGCTGCAACTTTGTCAAAGCATCACGTTCGGCGTGAGTTTTTGGCAACATTTGCAACAGCGTCACGTTCTGACTCACTTTTTGCACGCAATTTATGCAAATAATCGGCAACACTAAATTTTTGTTTTGCACATCAGCAGAGTATTAGCAAATATGCAACACAGTAACTGTACTGATGCAATTATTACGTAGCTCGAACGAACCCAATATGTTGGACGTTGGCTGCTACATATTTGTGGTTATGTAGTAGATTCAATCGTAGCGTGATATTATCAGGTATTAACCCTAGCGGCCCTTACGTACAATGTTCAAACCTGCATAGCTTAGAAGATCTAAGCGGCGATTTAACTTGGTTTCTAGGACCACAGCTGTCGATACGTGTTCCCGGCTCATGTCTCATTTCTTCGATCTTACTCTGAAGTCCGTTGCAGTTGAATTGTAAAAGTCGAGTTTGTCGCGGGTGTCTAGGGGTGATCCTGGGAGTGAGAGAGTGGGTGGTGGTTGTTGCAGTTGTAGAACCCGCAGGGGGCGGTTGTCGCACTGTGTTGTCGTTTGGCGAAGCCACTGCAGGGTGTTGTGGGGGCGTAATTCTGCAGCACCGAGTAATGTACGGCACGCTCCACTCACACGTGGTGAGCAGTCTAGAACACGTAGGGAAATGACAACAGCTAGTACAAGAATCGCACTTGACTGATATGACATTCGACGTATGACTGTCTGATACACGGAACAAACTATGGGAGGAACCAGGAGTTGCCGAGTGGTTCTCGCACGAGGATTGGAGTGGGATGAAGTTTCGGGGACTGGTCAGACTGGGAGTCATGCTGCCTACTTGACCTCCTTGGGACCGTACAGGTCCTTTGTTGGCCACTCGACTGAAGTGGCCGCGCGCCGGATAAAATCCGGCTCAATTCCGGTAACGTAGAACCGGCTGTTGTGGGAACCTACCTCCTGGGTCGCTCTTACCGGCAACGGACATTGTCTGTTTCGTCGCCAGTTTTGATAGTGGTTGGTGTTTGGGATTTGGGTTTTGTTAATTTTGTTTGTTCGTGCTAATTCTGTTTCTTACGACCTTTGGCTCGGCATGGTGAGCTTCCAGGTCTTGCATATGTCAGAGGGAACACAAAGGTCCCCCGCGCCAGAGCCCCTGGACTGCTAAAGCCACCGTTATTTCCCAAGGCGTCCCGGTGTTGGGAAGCCTTCCTTAAAATACAGTCGAATTTACCTCCTGTTTAAAATCATCCAACTGGTACGAGAAAAACATAAATCCCTGGATTAGGAGGTGGCAGCTCGTGGTCATCGTACGCATGCAGCCTCTGGCGACCCGTCCGAGGAGTGCTGTACGGTACCCCTCACACCGGTTGAGAGGGACTGCAAGACCTTGCGATTAAACCCCTGCATCAAGGTACCTACCAGTCGCAGGAGGTGGAAGATTTAGCCAACATATATATGTATGTAGATTGGTTTGTCAAAGTTTTTTTTTTTTTTTTTTTAAAGTAGGGGGAAGCACCGAAGTGCGGAACTTTAATCCGCTAAACCCAACCTACTCCAAACTCAAGACTCCCACGGAACCACCTGATTAAGTATTACTTCGTGGGAGACGTGGTTTGTCGAAGTCTATCTTAGCTTGTATGTTGAACTAGAGTCATTGTCAGTTCATCTTTTTTTTTTCTTTCATTTACAATAGATACATTTTTTCAGAAAAAATAAGTTGGCAATAACGATAAATCTTATTCTAACAGACTAAAATGTAAACAAACCAAAATCACAGATATTTGTGGATGGGTATTGAGTTAAAATTAAGACAAAATAAGAACATTTGTTTTCAGTTTTTGTATTATAGACCTCAAATGAACAAAATAATTATATTTGTATAGTAAATTAATATTCTTTTTACAAATTTAAAAATTCAAACTTGCCTATTCGCCATATCAGACATTTGAAAATATATTGACTGTTCTGTTTAGTTTTTAAGCGAAAATATGGAATAAGCTAAGTGAGTTTTATTTGTCAAAGAATAAGTTGCTAACTTATGACGGTCAAATAAAACACGCCTAATGTTTCTTTATCTCATTTAGTAAGAAACAAAATGGTTCCTATTTAAACGTAATTGTCAATAAAACTTTGGCTTATTTGGATTTAGGAAGTTCCAATGTATTTGAGTGGTCACGAACGATTTTAACAGATATTATTCTTTACGTGAGCATTTGCTTCAACTTTAATTCAACTGAGCGGAGTTGAAAACCGTAATAGCGGTATCTATATACTCAATTTTAGTTTTGTATCTTAATTTCTGGCTTAGCATTTTATAATTTAATTAATTTCAATTTGTGGACATGGTAATTATCTGGTTTTGCACACCCACCTTCTTAGAGCGCCAAGAAACACGTGTACCAAGTTAACACATTTTATTTATTTGATTGGCATTGTGTCAGAGCAATAAACGATTTGAGAAATACTCAATAAAATGCGCCTAAAATTATGTAACTAGTAACACGTTCTACCACTAGATTAACTATTGATGCTGTCATTTGAATAACATACAATACCATAATACTTGCGTGCTAATAAAGTCAAATATATTTGCCAATTAATTTATTTCATCTTCGTTTTATTTGAAGTAAAAGTTCTATACTTCTATGAAACTATTAAAAGCTTGTATCAGCAATATATTTATTCAATTAATTTGCATGCGTGGCTGAACTCCTAAATTAAAAAAAAAATATTTTATTTTTCTTTGTATTTACAGGGTGTTTTAAAGTTTTTATTGGATCATACGAAAAATGAAGATGTTGAGGGGCCGAAAAGCCAAGAAATGGATGTAGAGGTATGATATACATTTACTATTAATTTTTCAAACTTATGGGTCAAATTAGATTATAGAGTAATAACTTTGAATATTATTATATTTACTCCATAAAGATTTAGTAAGGCCAGGATTCAACCCACCTATTACGCATCTATAATTGCGCGAGTACAACTTTGCGAAATCTTAAGTATGAGTATCTTTTAAGAAAATATGTTTACTTTATTTTCTACGAACGTTTCTAATTGAATAATTCACCAAAATTTATTTTCAAACAAATCGTTCCTCTTTTAACACAGGGTTGTTATCTGCGTTTTCAAGTAGATAGATTCAAAAATGTTTTAGTATTCAAGCAAGCATAACGACAACTAGAATCCACTAGTCTTCTGCATTGTGTGTAAATTTGTACACATAATTTTTGATTATTTATTTGATTTAGACTGATGGCTAGAATACATAATTACGACCATGACTACATGGGCTGACCTCTAAATTGCCACAAAAAAAATCTATTTCTTTGCCCTAGAGGACTGGTCTTAATTAGAATACTATTAAAGTGACTTTTCATAAATTGTATAAATTAACGCCACCTCTAAAATATTTGTTCAACATACTCGTACAATGGAAAAAATTGAATTTGATAAAACCTTGTTTTATAAGTGGAAGAACAGTGTTGATTCAAAGCAGTAGGTGATTAACATAAGTGTCATCGTATCAACGTAAATGAGGAACCCTGTTCAAAAAGACCACAAGAGATCTAAATAAAAAATATATATATGTATATAAAAAATTTTACAAAATTAAAAAAGTTTACAAAAACCTCGCGAAAATTCTTGAAATTTTGTTAGGTGACAGTAAAATGAAATGGTGTGAGGTAGACGGAACGGAATAATCATATAATTCATGAATTTTTGCATATGAAAAAGCTTTTCACGGATGTAGACCGCATTTTCTATTCGCCAAATTTAGTCCCAGCGACTGCTTCCTGTCTCTCAGACTCAATTAATGGTTCACTGGAAAACGATTTTATTGAAATGAGACGGTTAAGATAGAAATGTTTTACGACTCTTACATCAAATACATTATTCTAGATGAAGATTATGTAAAGAGTAAACCCATATTTTAATTTAAAAAAATGTACAATGAAAGCACTGTCTCAAATAAAATGTACAAATTTAACAACTTTAAATCAAAATCGCGCAAATGAACCGCTACGTGAGGCGTTTCCGGACACGAAATGTCCTCACACTCCGGATAGGCTAAGTACTAAATCCTTCTCTCAAATTTTTGTTGAACTATAAACGTTTATACAAATTGGTTTTTATTTTTGTAAACAACCCATTTCAACAAAATTGATTAAAAATCTACGATATTAAATTAAAATTCATTGATCGATTAAAAAACAAAAACGATTTAAAAAAGGGCCGTACTAGGTCTGGTGCACTGCTTCGAGGTATTTCTTCTGCTGTAGAAAACCGTTAGGTACTAGTTTATTTTATTTCGATCTTCTATCATTGGTTAATCTTATAGAAGTAATGCGGGTAAAGTCTGCGTGCGTCAACTCAAAATTTATCATATATGCAACATTTGCAGTTATCTATTTTTCATATTTTTTCTTTTTTCAGAAAAAACAGTTTCTTGAATCAGCTTTAAATACTATGACCACAGACGTAATGAAAGAGTTTCAGATGGCAATATTTATTTTAGAAAACCAAGAATCAACAGTTGCTGACAAAGTTAAGGCTTTGCATATAATCAGGGAGAGTATTGACGACATAGATTTTGCAAATAGTTTCGTGAACGCTGGTGGTTCTGTATATTTAGTTCAAAACCTAAATCACATAGATTGTGAAATAAGGATCTTAACTGCCTACATAATTGCAGAAATGTCACAAAATAACCCAGTATGTCAAAAACATTTTGTTGATGCAAAAACAATTCCAGCGCTTATAAGATATTTGAATCAATCGAATGAAGTTGCAAACAGTAGCTTACATGCAATATCATCTTTATTACAAAATTTTGAACCTGGTATAGTGGAGTTTCTGAACGTAGATGGAATACAAATATTATTATCCTGTTTGGATGTAAGCAATGCAAAAATGTTTGAAAGAGTTTGTTTTTTAATCGGAAAATTAGCAGAGCGAGAAGATTTGCGAGGTAAGGTTTTTGTAATAATAGGTTTAATTTGATTTTCTATATATTATCTAGATTTAGCTATACTTTCGATAGGGTGCAACGTTACTTTTTCCTAGCCCCAGTTAGTGCCGGCTAGCGACTTGAGGATCTTATTACGACTCTGTACTTTGATAAATATCGCAGTGGTATGAGAAGTGAAGAAGTACAGATTATCAAACGTAAGACCCAATATTTTTGGGTTATTAACTGTCGGGATTTTAAAGTCATCGACAAAAATTTTGAGATCTAGTTTGTATCCTTCGTTCCCCCAGTTCCATCTCCATACGATCATTTCACAGTCTATAATCCCTAGGATCGTGGTGCGTGTTAAAGTCTCCTAGTACCAAACGGTTCTCAACACGAAACTAATTTCGGGTGATATTCTGTTGAGCTACTTGTAACTGGGGCTGTACATATCTAAATTTCGAGCTCGACATGCCTGACCAGAAATGACACCAGCCGGAGCAGGAATTGCACTTAACGGATGTAGTATTCCGACGTATTTCGGTATTATCGTGCCAGTGCTTTATGATTATCACACGAGGATTGGAGTGGGATTAAGGTAGAGGTGGGGCTGATCAACCTGGGAGTAATGTTGCGGAGTACAGCACTTTGCGACCGTGAACTTGGTTGGCGTCTCGGGAGTGGCGGTACAATGCCCGAACTAGGTGCAATTCGCATAGCCGTAGAAACCATATAACTTGTGGTTTACTCATTGTGTATTAAAGTCAAAACAGGCTTTAAGATGGCTCCATCGCATACACCTAACCGAGGTCGAATTGGAATGGAGCGTTTTGCGCAAACGTAGGACAAAAATTCTTCCGGGCCTTGGTTGGGCTCAATACCAGCACGGATCAAGAGAATATAGAGTAGCCCAGCTGCTAAGAGTTGCACTGACAATGCTAATTTTTTACTTACCGATCCAAACAGGATCACAATAACAGCCCATGGCCGGATAAAACCCGAGTTTATTTTATAACGTAGAGCCCTGTTGTGCAAATTGAATTAAATTTTTGGTCAATCAATTTAGCTTAACTTTGATCTAGACGCCCAATCGAGATGCTAAAACCTGGTTGCGTGGCACTTTCGACGACTTTCATCGGGCAACAATCATTAAGCAGACTGGCGATTAGATACCGATGTTTAATGATAATTTCATGTATCATTTATGTTGAAGCAACGATATGTATTGATTGGACAAGTTTGCCCCAGCACGTTCAACATACAGTTCTGTCTGAAATAATATTAAGGGGGTTTTAGAATTGGTTTAGAAGCCCAAATTTTAAGTTTTTTTTTCGGACCCGATAAAAAAAGAAAAGAAATATTTTTTTTATTCATTTTCTTTTATATGTTTTTTATTAATATTTAAAGTGTACAAATCATTTATAATATATAAAAAAAAAATTAAAAAAATTCCAGGCCGGCAAGTGGGGACTGATAAAAAAATGGTGTGTCCTGGTGTGCGGGATATCAGGATTCCCAGTAACCCGAAATAGAAATGGTTGAGTGATTCTTAAAGAGGAAGGATTTAGTTATAGCACATGAGATATCATGCACACCGTTTTTAAAAAAATAGTTCAGAGAAAAACGACTTTAAATCTTGCGCCGAGCTGCCAGTCGCTTTTGTCGGCGCATAACAAATTGAGCTGTAGCTCCGAAAATAATTGAAATTTGAAAACACCTTTTTAGAGACATATTCTTAAAGGGTTATACTACAATAATATGCACGAAAAAAAATCGATTTTTTTAAATTTCTAAACCAGAAAACCCCCTCAAGAAAAATCAAAGTGAACGTAGAAACACATGCATAAAGTTTTTTGTTTCAACTTGTCTAACTTTCTACCCGATATGTTAGGGATTATACCAAACTTTGTCAACACTCACAGCTTGGACGATTGTCAAAAAAACTGAAAACGAGCGTTCGTTTGGTAGCAGAATTTAGTTAATTTTTCGAGTTTCATTAGTACAATTTTGAACACTAAATTCCAAAATGTATACATATGTAAATTTACATACGGTAATGTGGCGCTCCGAATCGTTGAGGAATAGATCTGTGGTTGAATGTGGCGTTTCTGGTGTGGGGACAATTATTTTGGTTGCTTGGTGGTGTGGGGTGTCGTCGGTTTGGTGACATCTTTCTGAGTGTGATGTGTTGTAGTAGGGTGCTCCAGATTTTTTCCGATTATAGTGATGTATAAGTACGAGGCTTAGCTCATTTAAACATCCTGGGCCCCCTAGGAAAATGTTTTGTCTAGTATTTCACGTGTATGTGAATGTATTTTGGCGCGCTGAGGGCCCAGATTATTAGCTGTGAAGCGGTTTTGGTTGTAAGTGCATTTGATATATTATGATGTAGAATATGCGGCTTGAAAAAAGCAACTTTACCTATCATGTTTATTGAATTTGCGGCTTTTTTTTCTTTTATTGCTTTATTATTTGTATAGTTTATTTTTAAATTCTTTACTGTCGGCTCTGACTCAGATGTGGCCAGGATGGATGCTTCTTTGAAAACATGCCCTGTGAAATCGGAGGGATCTTGCGAGAGTACAGTGATTGGCCGTAAATAGAGACGGCTTCGATTCGGGTTAATAATGTTTACAATTTTTTATAATTAATTAAAGCTTTTTACCGCTGATTCCCATAAACCACCAATATTAGGAGCGCTTGGGGGGGTTAAATTAGAAATTAATGCCTGGAGACTGCTGAAATAGCGTGCTTAAGTGGATACGGTAAGGGTGACTTTTACTTTGTAAGTAGTCTAGGTGCGTTTCTGTATCGCATTGTGGGAGTACGGTTTGTTTAACTTTATTTCTAAATTTGTTCTTTTTAGCGACAATTATGAGTTTGTAATTGTTATCGGGGGAGGGAGTTTTTCTAACTGTAAAACTTTCTTTAATTGTGAACTACGGGGTTTGTTTAAATCTCTTCAACTTGCGTTGTTAACATGTAAACTTTTTCTTTGACCTATTCACTTAATACCCAACCGAAAATTGTATTTTGCGCCAATAGTGTGTTTGAGATTTTTTAAACACCTTCAAGTAATATTTGTGGTATGATATAGCTTCTGCTTTAACTCGCTTATTCGCTTGGGGGGGAATTACAGTAATGGGACATATTGTATTTGAGTTTTGGATTACTCTTCCACTCATTCCCATAATTTCAAAATCTGATTGTTTTGTTGGTAGTTTTAGCTTATTTTGTGTCCTAGACGCTAGGAATGATCGTTGTGATCCGTTGCTTATTAAGGCTCTGGTCTAAAGAGTTTTCCTTGGTGTTCGATGGAGACGACTGCTGTGGGTAGTAATACCCTACTTTCAATTTCATTGTGTAGCTTTAGAATTTTTAATGCAGCATGGTGCTTTTTGGTAATTTTCGCAGTTGAAACTAAACCCATGGTTCTTTCTGTGCTGTAAGCGGTGTTTTGGGGTGAGCTGGGGTATGTGCTGCAATGAAGCATTGAACGATGTCTTTTTGACAATAGATGTAATTAGATTTGCTTTTACAATTATTATGACTATGCGCATCTGACAAGAATTTTGTACAAACTTGACGAAATTGCTTCTTTCGTTCATTTATAATTATTTAAACTTTTCGCAGGATTTCAATTTATCCACTCTTGTACATAGTATGCATGACGTATTTTTATTTTTGTTCGAAATTAACGATTGCGTTTTGTAAAAGCTTTGGTTTTAATTGTTTTTGCCACTAATTTGGGGTCTATTGAAGTTTCGATTTTGATCGTGTTGAATACTGAAATGTTGAACGTCTATCCTTTGCGCTATTTTATATTGGGTAGTCAGAAAATCTTTCATTTATTGCCATGTTGGGTATTTTTACCGAGATGAGAGCGATTGCTCCCACAAATACTAAATAAAAATAAAAATATTTACCAATATTGGGTCCCAGCTGTCTGTGGAAATACTTTGTGTCAATAGAACCGACAAACAATTAGAAACAGTGGATTGTAGTCGTATAAATTCTTCACTTGTTCTTTTTGAATTTCAGACAAGTTTATTAGTGTCGTTACTTGTTTATTGACCAATATTCTTTTATTTTCTCATTAAGTGCGAACGGTTTGACTACAACGCCTGCTTGACATTTTTTTTTATATCGGAGGTGATACACGTTTTGTGCATTTAATATTTTTGGGTGCTTTATGTGAACGGCGGTAAACATGTCCCGGAAGGACGGCCATTGTTCATAACCACCATGAAAAATTTCTGTGTCACGTGCGAGCAACTCGAGGTCTGAACTTGTCTCCTGAGTTTGTATTTGTGACAGCTGTACTCTCCGTTAGGGTTAGGTGCAATTGATTTTATTAACTTTAATTGATCGTAAACCATCGTTTTTGTTTCTTCATACTGGTCTAAGCAGTTTTCGTATATTGCGTAAGCCGATGATTTAAAATTTTGTGGGAGATCTGAGTTATCAGTTTCTACTACTGCGTCATGAGCCGCTTGCAGACAAGACAAAAACTGTCGAGATTTTTAATTTTGATTTCTAGTACCGATTCAGAGTAGTCTTGACGGTCCCAGGGGTAACCTACAGGAATGTTTCTAATACTTTATTAACTATATTCCTACTTAATACTTCAAAGTTTTTGAAGATTAAGCCCAGGGGTAGGTAGGTAGGTAGGTAAAGCGGCTGTCATTCGACACAATTAGGCCTTTAGGAGGCCCATTGTGATACCACTGGGACTGTGATCCCCTCACTCTATTGGCTCCTCTCTGAACCACCCCGTACTTCTGATGAACTTCATCAGTGAGACAAGTTTTATCTGTGCAACCTCCGAGACGTCGTCAAGAAACCCACGACCGATGGTTGCGATTCTTTTCCTATATAGTGCTGCGCAATCGCATAGAAGATGTTTAATGGTCTCCTCCTCTTTTACTTCCTGACAGCTTCTACAATAGTCGTTATATGGCGCGTCAAGTCTATTTGCATGTATGCCTATTAGACAGTGGCCTGTTAGTACTCCTACG